TTGTCCGGCAACAGTTTCTCGGTGGAATCATCTCCCTATCATATTTACCTTCCCAATCTCAAATCGCCGACCTCTTCACAAAGCCTTTTTCTGGGCATCTCATCGATCTCTCGTCAGCAAGTTGGGTCTCACTTCACACCCCTCCAACTTTAGTGGGTTTTGGATTTGATTTTGTTTCACATGATGGAACTCGTGGTGGAAAAGATTTTGGAAATTCTCAACTTCAAATATATGTCACGTGAAATAAAGAAGTCTTCTGGAAGACAGATTTCTTTATTTATTTTATTTTATTTTCCTTTTTATTTCTCTTAGTCAGTTATAGTATTGGCCATGTTAGGCATGACCCCTTTTTATTCTCCAGTAGCTGGAACACGCGTTCCTTTATTTTGATTGTATAAATACATGTAAATCTTGTTCAATAAGATACATAAAACAATCAACTATCTTGCTCTTTAGTTCCTGAAAATAATTTTTTTCAATTTGTTTCTCCTTTCCCTTTGTATCCTGCTTTCTTTTCCCTAGTTTTTCTTTGTTGCCTTTGCCCTGTTATTTACTCACATTCTCTCCAATCAATTTTTGCACAGCCTTTCACCTCATCTGCTTCTTTCTCCTCATGGGGATATAGTTGAGGGCGAATAACAAAACAGTACTCCTTCTCATTTTGTCCCTTTATCTTGGATGTTTTGCAATATTTTGATACATGGTCATATTTTATAATAATACATTTCTCCTTAATTTTCATGTGTTCTTCCTTACCCCTACATTTATTCCCGTTGAAAATTCTCCCAGCAAATCCACATTCACATTGATGGTAGCACAACAGCTAATTTGGCGGCAGTGAGGAAAACAAATTTAAGCAATTGTTGTTGTTGTCTCCTCTTCAGAATCAAATAGTGGATCTCATCGAATATGTGGGTGATATAAAATTAAGGTTTTGATATAATATGTTCACTGTTCACATAATCCTCCAACCTTGAGGCACACATCCATCAATATGTACCTATTGCTCAACAAAACCTATGTTCACTTCTTCTTTCAAACAACACTATTTCATATCATTGCATATTGAAGGTCCTTGTTGATGATCATTGTTCTATTTCCTCTTCTTCTCATATTATTCTTGATTTTCTGTGTAAATAAGCAATTTATCTCGAGGGAATAGGTTTGTAAGTAGTGTTGGAAGTGGTGGTAATGAAATAAGTGAATTAGCATATGTAGTGATAATAGTAGTAATAGAGAGTGTAATTTTTTTCCTAATAATTGATTTTTAATATTTATTGAATTAGATTTGTACACGCTTTGAGTAAAAGATATTTGAGTTATAAAATAGGCAAATGACAAGTGTGGGGGGCACAATTTTCTTTTAAATTTTGCATACTTTATAACCATCCATTAGTCTTCCTTCCCTAAAAGTGGAGTCAATATATCCATTTTTTTCTTAAAAAAAGAAACTAGGAGCCAATATGGCCCTACCTAACCAAGAAAATTGATTAAACAAATTCTTGGGAAAAGTGCATCAAGAACTAAAGCCCTTTACTTCTTTTTTTTCCTCTCTTTTTCTTCTTCATTCTTTTATCCTTCTCTTCCATGCCTGTTTTGTCTTCATCATCATCTCTTTCTGCAAAACAAGATGTATCCTATCATGAACTCGAATGGGTATAACCAATTCGTTACTAATAAACCATTAGATAATGCATCGTCGCAACCATATTCATACCCTCATTTATTACCTTATGGATATGGTATGCCTCCGCCATCACCACCACCACCACCACCACAACAACAACATCAGCCATATGGATCTCCTGATGGGTCTTCTGTATATATTCAAAGAGCCCCTATTGGAATAACCAAACATATGGAAGAGACAACTTGGTCAACCAATATTTTTGCATGTGGTAGAGACCCCAAAAATTGTATGTATTCTTCTTTATTAATCATTTTATAACTATTAATTATATGTTCGAATAGTTTTATGTTGATTGTCAACCTATCGCAATCAAATGTTATTCCAACATCTTTTGATGGGTTCAATGACTCCATTATTGTTTTAAATTTGAGGGTTCAGAATTTGATATTTTTGCTGGAAATTTTAGTGATTTTTTTACATACATATTAATTGTTGTATATAGTTATATATTTCATCCATCTTTGTCTTCTTTTCTATTGTTTTGAGATTATGATAACGTGAACAAACTTACACATGCAAAGTTTATTCTATTTTTTATGAATTGAGAGGTAATTGTTATTATTGTTGTTAATTAATGACCTCATTTTATGCATGTGTATAGGTTTTACAACATGTGTTTGTCCATGCATAACATCCGGGCAAATTGCAGAAATAGTGAGTGAAGGACGAACATGTAAGATAATCCACAAATAGTTATATAATATATGTGATATAAGTTGGCATAATACATAAACATGTCTTTTTAACTTACCTTCAGCTAACATCTAGACTCTTCAATTTTGGATATGCAGAAGAAGACACTTAAATTTGTATAAAGTTTAACAAGTAGATACGTGACATCCTATGTGGCAATTCACGTCTTACGTGACATCCTATGTGTATTATGTCACGTAGGACATATGTGTCTACTTATTCCACTTCATACAAGTTTTAAGTGTCTAGTTGTGCACACTCAAAGTTGGAGAACTGAAGTTAAGTTAAAGGGCTCAAGTATTGTGTCATATAAGTTTAAATTAAACTTAGGTTTATGTTTAATTATTGCTAATTAATTTTTTTTTATTTTTTGTATTTTGGACAGCATGCATGGAAGGAGTGATAATAAACATGTTACTCTGTTGTTTATGTTGTACTACACCACTTTATACTTTTTACTACAGAGTTAAATTGAGAAGAAAATTTAAGTTGGAAGGGAATGAATGTCTTGATTGCCTTATTCATACATTATGTTGTTATTGTGCCTTATGTCAAGAATATCGTGAGCTTCATCGTCAAGGATTTGACCCTGCACTTGGTAAGTCTCGGTGCACAAAGCATTCTGTAAAAATAACTTCATTCTGTAAAAATAACTTTTTAACTTGATTTCAGCTGATATATTTTTGTTACATATGTCCTAAGTGGTAATGTGGTATAATACATGTATGACGCCAAGACACAAAATTATCATTAGGATGTCACGTAGGACGGATGTGTCTATTTGTTCAATTTTATACAAATTTAAGTATTTACTTGTACACATTCAAAGTTGAAGGGAATAAATGTCGGACATATTTATGTATCATGTCAATATTTTATCCTATTAGGGTTCATGATCCCGCAGATTTTATAATTAAATCATGAACATGTTTTTTAATTCGACCTCATATGATATTTATGTCCTCCAACTTTAGTATGCAGAACTAAGCATTTGAACTTGTATAGAGTTAAACAAGTAGACACATATCATACTTGGCGTTTTATAAGGCAATTCATGTCCTAAGCAACATCCTACCTCGTATTTTACGTGTATTATGCTAATCTTTTATGTACATATGTTCAGGATGGGCAGAAAATATTGAGCGGCAAAGCCATGCTGTTGCTGTTTTCACTATTACCCCACCTCCAGTTCAAGAAGCCATGAAAAGATAACAGTTCAATTATTTTTTTTGATCAGTTAATTATCAAGGTAAGAATTATAGAGTTTTGTTCTAAATACAGAAGAAGCAGCTTGTTTTTTTTTACATTAGTTTGGTTCTAATGGTAAAGTTTGACACATATGTCAAAAATTGAACAAGTAACTCATGTGTATTATGTGGCATAATACACAAAGGACATTACATAGGATCCACTATAGATGCTATCTGAAGTCAAGTTATAAAAGTAATTAATATCACTATAGCTATAATTCTTACACTTTGTTATTATTATTATTTTGTCATTTATACGTGCAGATATAATTACCAACTACACCTAATGCTGCTATCTTTGAAAGGTCAAAGCTGGAATGTCCCAAGCTAACTTTAATTTGTTTTCCTAAATGTAGGTGAATTCTCAAATAGATTGTAATTATCAGAACAATCCACTTGATTACCTTCTTGAATTAGGATTAAAAAACAATTTTGGATTTTGCATATATTTTCCACTTCAAGTAGATAGAAATTAATCTCAAACATATGTTGTGTTATGGACATTTCCAAAAACTAGTAGCATTGGGCATAAAGTCAATGTAGAGATCATATCTACAACTAGTTTTCTCTTTGTATGTAAATAGGTTGTATAAACTAAGTTCTTCATGAATTTAAGCATTCCTTAGATGATCATTAATCAAAAAGTTCATGTAAAGTCCAACTCACATGCATTTTAGGTTACAATAGGCACAAATTTGATGTACAAAACATCTCGCGTTCATGCAGAGTTTGAGGAAGGGTTGCACCTCAATAGGTGTGTTGAATATAGTCTATTCTAATGCAAGCATTAGTAGTAGTTTCTACGGCTTGAGAATTTGGTTTACTAATCACGAGGTTGATATTGATCGTGGGCTCCACCCGAGTCTCCACTTGCCTATTCAAACTACCACAACACCTATATGACTAAGCAAGGGGAGTATGTATTATATATATCCCTATCCTAAACACGAATCTATTCCACGATGCCTAGGTTCAACCTAAAATTAACTTACTGATAAACTGATGATGACAATAATTAAAGAAGACATTGCAAAAGATTTCAAGGTCAAAGATTTAGTAGAATTGAAAAAAAAAATCTTTCTTGCCATAGAGTTCATCATATCAAAACAGAGGAAGTGTGATTTGAAAGTTGACTTCAAAGGTGCCACTGGGAGCTTCTAAACCAGTTTACACACACCTCGAGTACTTCCACAAATGAAGTTTGTGGAGGATGACAGATATACATATCTTACTCCTACCTTTTACAAGCAGAGAGGTTGTTTCCAATAGACCTTCTCGAGTAAGAAAGAGGATGCCAAGATGGAAATACACAATTCAACTAGAAAATTGAAATTTTCCACACATCTTTATTAATCAACTTATAATGTCTTCAATTATTACAAAATACATTGTCCTTCATGAAAATTCAATGACTTATTATTATGTATGACATTTGAGAATCCACCCTCCAAACCTAATTGATATTAGGATTGTTCTTATTTGTAAACTTACAATCTTGGCGAATTTCGCCATTTTTACCAGTCAACACTTTAAGACCTCCCATTCTACTAATCGATAATGCAAATCCCCTTCGAAATTGCTCCAAACTCTTTGCGTATTCATTGACTAGTTCACCTGTATCACCTCCATAAGATAATTGTTGATCAACTCTAAGAAGTGATTCATGAACAAGAACCTTAGTGTAGAATTTGTTACTGAATGTATAGTTAGAACCATATTCTTCTGTGAAATAAACAGGTGAATCATTTTTGCTGTTTTTAGGGCATTGATCCCTTAGCTTTACTAACACAGATCTCTTCATGCTGGGGTCTGGTTTTCCGGTACCTTTGAAATCGTAAAGGCGGTCATAGAAGGAGCTGCAATGTGCTTGTCCCATTGTATGTGCCCCTGAAATAGGAACCAAATGGCCGGCGTTTAGAACAATAACAACATATCCAGTATAATCTAGGGTCTAGGGAGAGTAAGTGTGTATTTTTTTTTTTTAAATGTCGTTAAAGAAGATGAAAAAGGACGTTGAGGAAACGACAACAACAACTATATAAAAGTGGATCTTGGGTTTGACTAGCTCGACCCCAAAAGCTAGTTCAAGAGGTGAGGATTAATGTCCAAGACATATGAAGAGACCAAGTGCCTCATCCCTGAGTAGGAGGCTCAACACACCCTCGTACATCTAACCTACGTCTAGACCTGTCAACTACAACATGGACAATATATGGAAGCCCAATATTAGTGAAACGTGGAATTAAGAGCATGGACAATATATGGAAGCCCAATGTTAGTGAAACATGGAATTAAAATAGGTTCAGCTTTGATATCATGTAAAGAAATTGAATCTTGAACTAACTTCTCAAAAAGCTAGTTCAAGAATTGAGGATTTCCCAATACATATAAAGAGACCAAGTCCCCCATCGCTTAGGTGATGTGGGAAACTCAAAACAACTACTCCTCAATTCTAAGTAGGTGGCATCTGCGATATTGTAAATACTCTATTCGGGTCTATAAAAAGACAACCAAGAAGGAAGAATTATTCTAAGTTGTGTCAAAAAGGTTATGTTAACCTAATGGTTGATTTCTCAGAACATCATATTTTTTTTCTTGATTCTAGATACTTCTTAAGAAAATAACTATTAGTTGAATGATCATATAATAAGCAGTTAAAATGACAGAAAATTATATAAGTCATATATTTGTGTACCTAAAAGTGTGACAAAGTCTTGAACATCAAGATTTTTGGATTCAAAGTAAGCAAGTCCTTCCTCCCAAGACATTGAAGGTGAAGGATAATCAATCCATTCAGTTTTTGACTCCACTCCATCCCTTCTTCCCAAGAACACTGGATAAGATGGTGCACCTGCCTGTTTTACATGGGTTTTTTTTCAAAATTAGTTAATATATATCGCGATAAATTAAATAAATAAAGCGCGATAGAGAGAGATAGATTAGTTACATAATGGACGGCATCCCTAACAGCAAGATTGAGAATATCAGCACAAGAAACTGCTCTAGGACATCGAATTTCAAGCACTTTTTTTATTTTATCGATCAACAAGTATCCATCTAGCCTTGCATTTTTCGATGAATTTCTCTCTGTGTTTGGACCCGTTAGTAGAATTGATGCATCGCAACCCTGGACAACAATTAGTAAAGAAATAAGTACACATGAATAAATAGCACGAATTTATTAGTAACTAATTAAGTTGATATATCTCATATGGTCATTCAACTAATAGTTATATTATCAGAAAGTCATTGTCATTGTATACTCTATAGTATGTATAACTCATATTTACTGACAGTGTAATGAATTTCGAACCTGATATAGAAGATTAATTGCGTCATTTTTCAAGTTACTTTCAATTACAGTCAGACCTCTTTATAATTATCATATTTTGTAATAATATTTCACTATAACAATCATATTTTCCGTGAAATCGATCTTTCATGTTATAAGTTATACTATATGTTATCTTACAATTAAAAAATATTAGAAAAAATGATATTGTTATCGAGAGATATTTTACGATAGTTAGGATCTCTATATAAACACACACTCTGCTCAAATTCAATGCAAGGAAATCTTGCAATTAATTGTAACCCTCAGGGGTGGCGAGGGTTGGGATGGTCAAGGGGAACGGGGTGAGATTATTGGGTGCGTGGGGAAGAGATAATGAAAAAATATCTCTTAAGGAACTTGTTAATCTAGAAAAAATATTTGACCAATTAAATATGAAAAAATTGAAAAAACATTTTCTGAAAAATATTTTTCTCGACAGCAAACACACCCTTTATATTATACTATATAATTTGTTTCTTTAAAGAGAGATCACAAGCCAAATTTCGAGGCTTAGATCTAGATCATTGTCTAATATTTCCTCTATTTTGATTAATTAGTTGCTTAATTAAAGCTATCTGTCTTTTAAGACTCTGCCCAAGATACTTTTCTAAGAGCTGAATAGAGATACATTCCCTTTGTTCCATTTTAAGATAAGGTGTTTATTGTTTGTGGAATCCAATAGTATTTTTTATTATTATAATTTTATCAAAAAAAAATTAAAATATTTTGAATTATTAGTTACGTTTGTAGTACTTCCTCTAGTCCATAGTAAGGGAATTATTAAGAATTTTTTGTTCAAAATAAGTGAACTTTTTCAAAGTTCATAAGATTATTAAGACTCTTTTTTTTTCATGTTAATCCTTTCTTTTAATAAAGTTATTAACTACTTTACATTTTTTAGGAGAATAATTTAATAGTAATCAAAAGGATAATAATAGAAAGTAGTATTTGATTTATATCCTTACATATTTTTCTTAAAAGGTGTGTCATGCTCCTAACCTGAATTCACTTAATATAAATTAGAGGGTACGTTTTAATGTAATTTTCATATATATATATATATATATATATTAACTCTCGTACTTTGAACTTCTTCAGATAAATTAAAACAAAAGGGATTAATATAATTTACTTATATTATTGGACACCACAATTGATGTAGTTTAGATCCAACGTAACCTCAGAATTCGCAGAAACCCCATTCGTTTATAATCACATATAATTAACTCATATTCATAAACATAAGTCTTTATTTTTGAGGATTTAGTGTAAATTGTATTCACAAAATTTGTACCGTGTAGTTAAACCTGTTATAGAAGATTGATTATGTTATTTTTCAGATTATTATTCCACTTATAGAATTTTTTTTTAAAAAAATATTCATTATTATGGAATTTATTTCTAGGAATTATCTTCTCAAGCGTGTGTAACAAACTTAGATGCTGTCTAGATTGACTTATTTTAAATACTTTTAAAAGACTTTTGAAGTATTAAGCACATTATATTAAGATAAAACGATAAATACAAACTAAAAATTAAAAATTAAAATTTTTAACTTATGACTTCTGACTTATTTAATATAGTCAAATACCAATCCAAACAAGCTCTTAGTGTTATATTTACATTTTTTTCTTTAAAGAGGAGACACACCATTTTTATAGGCTTAGATCTCTAGATCATTGTCTAATATGTCCTCTATTTTAGTGTGTATTAAACTTAGTTGCTTATGGTTAAAGCTATATCTCAATTTACGAAGCTACCCAAGATTCTTTCCTAAGGCCTCCATAGAGATATTATACGAAGGATATATATGATTTGGCTTATAACTAGTTTATCAATATGATCGAAATATATATAATATACTATACTATATCAGTGTATGTGTTGTATATATATAGTATAAAGTATATACTACTTATATACATTTTATACATATTTTGTGAACTAGTTGGCCAAAGTCTGTAGCTGTCGTAATCATCCCATATAGTAATTGAGGGAGTAATATTATTTACTCATATTCATGGACACCACAAAGAATTTGATCTAGTTTGGATCTCAGCCTAGAAATTCAAAGAAATATTATCATTTGTTTTCATCGTATTTCTTCATCTTCAAATTCCTAGAGATGAGACTCCACCCCACCCCCTTCTATTAATTAGTGATATAATCACATATTAAAGGATTTAAAATTTACCTAAGAAAAAAAATTGTAATTCAACCTTTGTATTGAGTTTTCATTAATCTTAAAACTATAGTCTTAAAAACTGAATTAGCAATATATACTAGACATTATTCAATTTGTATATTTATAGGTTCACTTTTGCACTGTAAACAAGTATGGGGAAATGGAGAATACTAGCACTATTTCCCTTATTTGTGTCAAAATAATCGTACACGTAACGTTATTTTGAGCAATTAAAAACATTAATTCATTTTTTTGGTGTGGTAAATTTTATGCAAAATAAAAAGTTATCAAACATGATATTAGTTGTGCTAGTTTTAATATATGAACGACTCCCTTAACTAGCAATAAGATGACCCCTAACTATAATTATAGGGAGGGGTGGAATAATTATAGGTTAAAAATGAGACACGTGAATCTGTGGTCTTTCCGTAAAATTAGATATTTTATGTCTCTATTTTTTAATATTGGTTTATATTAATTGTTCGCATCCATGCTACTCTTAAATTAATGGCTAAACGGTGCACTTGGTTGAGTATTGAGTTAATTGCCTAGAGTACTAGGGGGATTAATTGCACTTACTGCATTTTTCCTTTTTTTTTTTTTTTTTTTTTTTTTTTTTTGTTGATGCACTCATATTCTAAAAATCTTAGATTCATCATTATACACTACATCAAAAATGATTTAATTTAGCGGCAATTAATTAATTAACGGCAATAGCTCAATTATGTCTAAATATGTATATTTAGTGACAATTAGCACTATTTGTATATGTCCCTAAAGCCTTTAGCGACATTGGACCTAATGGTACTTAATTAGTGTTGGTAAAAAACTTTAGCACTCTTTATTAATGTGTTTATTTATTGCCGCTAAAAGTTGTTTTTGTTATAGTGATAGTCCAGTAATTGAAACTAAAATAGCACTGAAATAATATGAAGGAGAGTACGTCTTGCAGCAATGATAAAATTATCTTTGTGTGATCTATGGGTCACATATTCAACAAGCTAAGAAAACAGTCACACTGCCCAACTTTCTCAAACTCAATTGCATGCGCTTTTTAATATAACAATGGAATAATACAAAAATAACAATATCCGTTCATTAATATTAAAAATTGTGCAGGAAATAAAAGAGAGAGACAAAGAGACATACATTAACCATGCAATCAGCATAGAGTAACTTGAGGAGTTTAGCAGTAATAGTCTTATCCTTGTCCCAATAGAGCTTCACTTGATGTTGAACAAATGGTTCCACATTGGCACATGTATTTAGCTTCTTATAGTAATGTCTCACCAATGGTTTATCCTCCGGTGGCAAAAACACTGCGGCGTTTGCATAACCTGCATTCAAGCTCACTGCAACAAAACTCATCAATATCGGAAGAAGAAGAAGAAGAATCCCTGAGTATTTCTCCATTTTTATAAAACGTTTGATCTTCTTCTTCTTCTTCTTCGTCTTCTCCTTGCAATAATATTGAATGAGCTTGAATATGATATAGGTTATTATGTTATTATGTCTAGACAAAGCTATATATAGACTTAGAACATGGCTTAGAGATGGCACGCATAGGATTGATGAAAGTCGTTGGAAATTCAAGAAAATAATATTATTCGTTGATAATGCACACTTTTTTTTATTTTAATAAGATATAGTACTATATGTATAGTTGTTTTGTAGACACTTTTGTGAGTTTTAAGGAATGTGTGTGATGGAAGTGAGAACTTCACGTGAATCAAAACTTAAGGGCTTTCTATTCTTGATCGTCCAATCATCGTTACTTGCTCAGTATAACAATAAATAGAATGACAATTTTACTATATTATCTTTTGAATATCATAAATTCAATGTTTTGGAGAAATGATTTGTAGTTAATAGTAAGTGTTAATTTGGAACTAAATAATAAATTATCTCTTGATTTTATCTAAATAGGACAAGTAAAAATGAACATTTATTTTCAATATAGTGAACGGAAGGATTATTAAACATTTGTTTATGTAAGTTACTTGGTGTTATAGTATACATTTTGCAGTAAACTAGCATGCAAATGCTAAATGCAAGTTTACATGTAGATTTGATGTTACTCCTATGCAACTTATACGTTTCAACACCCTTATATATTCAAACATAAGAATTTTCCTTTCAAAATAATAAAGAACATCAACTAGTTCGTATTTTTTTTTATAATCATAGCTAAAAATGATGATTTTTTTAATATTCATCTATAAATTTTTATCCATCACTAATTTTTTATTGGGAAAATTGTATGAAATAACAAACTATTAATTTCAAATTAAATGCTATAGCCATAGTTTATTTTATTTGTAATTCACATCAAACATCCCATTTTTTTTGTCATCTGGTTCGGTATACAATTAGCCATTTTGGTATACAATTACCCATTCGGTATACAAATGTATAAAGTGTATAAAATGTGTTTGTGTTTGTATAAAATAAGAGAAAAGTGTATATACAAATACGAATACATATATTTTTGTCATATACACTTATAATTATACAAATAAAGATCTTATTATATAAATTACAATGTATAAATGAATTTATACAAAACTGAATAATTTATATAAGATTGGATGTATCTAGTGAATTATACAAATCAAAAGCTCCATAGCAAACATAAAGTTTGTTATGAAGTGCAATTATATAAACTATAGCTATAACATACAAATATAATTTTTATATTTGTTACATGTGAAATTGCTCTTTATTATTTTCTAGCGTAGTAAAACCTCGAACCAAAGGAAAAATGACTTTTCTTCTTATGGTAGTCAAGCTGTCTCTGACTAGATGTGGATGTCAAACTTGAGTTTTCCCTTTTACTTTGCTTAAGAATTCATGATTTAGTGTTTTTTTTTTCTTTCATTATTTGATGTTTGACCTCGGCATGTATAATTTATATATATAGTACTATTAATTAATTTGCAATAAGATTTTCAATTTGTTTTCTTTTGGCATAATACATATACAGGATCCTTAACTTGATGTCAGCTGACAACTATGACCCTTAACTTTGGGTGTGCACAAGTAGACACTTAAACTTGTATAAAATTGAACAAATAGACACATTCGTCCTACATGACACCCTACATGACAATTTTGTGTCCTACGTGGCGTCCTACATGTATTATGTCATGTAGGACACGTGTGTCTACTTGTTTAATTTTATACAAGTTTAAGTGCCTACTTGTGCACACTTAAAGTTGGAGGGCATAGTTGTCCGCTAAAGTCAAGTTAAGAGTCATATTTATGTATTATGCCTTTTCTTTTTAGTTAGTTTGAAAAAGAATATTTATTTCCTTTTTTTGACAACTCTTTAATTATAACTTTCCATATGACACATTTAAGATAAGAAAATTAAAGAACATTTTGATACATTTTACATATTTTTAGTTTAAATCAATAGATTCAAAAGTTTTTTTTTTTTTTACTTTCTTAAGCAGTTAAGCTCCATTGCCAAAGTCAAAACTAAATCAACAAAATTGAAATGGAGATTGTATAAGATAATTTCACCTTGTTTATGATATTTATTTCAACATTGTTTTTTTTTTAAAAAGGAAACTATAATATTATTAACTAAGAGAGATTTTATTGTATTACTCCATCAATTTTAATTTGTTTATTTATTTTCCATTTTTTAGGTCTATTTCAAGAAAAATGTCTATTTCCTTTTTTGGCGACCATGACATTTTAACTTTCCGTATGACTTACATGTTTAAAATCTCAAAATTAAAAAATATTTTGAAACATTATACTTATATTTAATTTAAGACTACAAGATTCAAAAATATTTTTTACTTTCTTAAATTTCATTCCGAAAATAGATACAAATTGAATTAACTATATATGTGTTTTAGTTTCGAGATAATCTAACCTCAATTAAATAAATTCACTCACCTAATTTTATGAAGAGTTCACTTTTGTATCTAACTTAAGCATAATATATACTACTAGTATTTGTTATTGGTTATTATACCTCACCTTTAAAAAAATATTGAAATAAAGTCCACAATATAATATCTTGCTCTATAAAGGGACATTCAAAAAGTATGTTTTCCTAAATTCAAGCCAAATTATTCTCATCCACTTGGCCACTAGTAGTAACAATTGTATAAGGATAAAGTTAAAACAGCTAATTAGCTTGTGAAGAGTGATTAACTACTCATGAAGCATAATGCACAAATTAAATAAATTAAGCAACATATGGATGACTTGACCGACCATGGATTAGCATAAAATTTTGTTTTAAGAAACTAGGAATGAAATTATTCGTTTTAAAAAGGATTCAACTAAATTCTCCGAGGTTTATAAGATATGTGGATTGAATCGGTTGAAATACTGAAATATATAAGCAAGAAATTTTTACACGTGATGATTTTACTATTTTTATAGGGACATATTCTCACGATCCGATAGCCGAATATACAAAAATTGATAATTGTAATTTCAATTTTTGATTCGCTTGCCATAAATGTTTGTACTTCTACACTTGTTGAGGATTCTGTAGTGGTAGATCGAGTCTATTGCTCAAAATTTGTGTAATCCTAAAATAGACATCTTTGTAGATGGTGGGCGAAAGTAAATGGAGTAGCGGTGAACTGTCATTTTAATAATATTCAGGGGTGGATTTAGGAAGATTCAAAGAGTGTCACATGACACTACTTCATCGGAAAAATTTACTAAATAGATATATATACCGTTAAGAAGCAGAAGCAAATATAAAGGTATCGTAAATGACACTCCATTAATTGAAGTTGCACGCAACTTGGTTGGTTTTGTGCTAGTGTATCATAGGCCTGGTTGTGAGTTCACATGACCTCATTTTGATACATGTTATTTTATACTCATATATTTCAAAAAAAAAAAAAGAAAACTCATTGAGAAAAAACTATAATATTTTTTTTTTTTTTTAAAAAGGTAAAGTGGTATATGTGAATTTTATTTTATTTATATTTTGTTCTTTTTTATTATGGTATAACATTGTTTTATTTATTGTTTCTCATTTTTAAAAATGATACCGCTTATGAAATTTTTTGCTTATGCCATTGATGATATTAACACTTTGTTATAGATCTTAATCACTCAGACCTATTAAGTGGTTGTAAGACTAAGGGCCCGTTTGGCCATGCGATATGGTATCATGATATGGAATCATGAGATGAAATTGAAGGTTTGTTTGGACATGCGATATGGAATTTTTGTGTTGTATATTTTCTCATAAACATAAAAATCCCATAAGTTGTAAAACTATTAAAATAGCCCCAATTGCTTATTCAATCTTATCAAATAAACAAAAAATTATACAATCGCATAATAAATTATTACAAAGTTATTTGTTCTCGCATAATAAATTATTACAAAGAAAATGAATGCCTATAATTAAACAGTTCTTTGGCATTTTGAGGCTCTCTTTCACTTCTCGTCTGACTTGTTCGATATGTTCAACTGCTTCAACGTAGAAAATAACATCCTCAATGTCCACTTGATATGCTCATATCTTTCAACTACTCTTACAGATAACCTATAAAGTAGAAAAAAAATATACATTAGTGAGTAAATATTAACTTAGAAGTTAAATACACTAAGATAAAAATTAACAACCATCACTGATTTCAAATTATTTACAAGAAAAATCAATAGTTAAATATTATATTATTGAATAACGAAATTTTTAAAAGTTACCACAAGTTTGAGTCAAAAACACTTCTAATAAAATTTAATCAAAAAAATTATAACTAGTCCACTTGACTAAATATTAATACCTAATTGATCAAAATTTTCCCAAGTCCTCAATCCACTGGACTTGATATTCTTCAGTCATGTGAACGAACATTTTGCGAATACTAAGATTAAGAAAGTGCGGCACCGCCAATGAAAATTGTCTTTTATCAATATTATGCTTAGTCATAAGATTTAAGACATTTTTTTTTATTATGAAAAAATCAAAAAAATATTACTCCCTTCGTTCTTATTTATATTCACCAAATGAATTTCTACTTTATCATTTATATTCAACAAATTTAAAGTAATAATAAATTTTATATTGGTGAGAATAATAAATTTTAAAAAGTAATGATGTGATTATAATTTTTTTTACATATGAAACAAATGGTTAGTAGATATAAATGTGGGGTTGTTTTAAACAAAATATAAACTCATGGATCAATTATTGTATTAAAATATCTCAAATCATGATATGGAATCACCATATAATTCCATATCATGGTTTTTGGTAGAATATGGTATCACCTCTTATGATATGGAATCATGAGATGGAATCAGCGTAAAAATCGCATGTCCAAAACGCTGATTCCATCTCACAACACCATATCGTGATATGGTATCGCATGTCCAAACGCCTACTAAGAAAAATAAACGCACTTAATGATTAAGATTTAGACCTTGTAAACAAATAGACTTAATGATTGATATTGTCACGACCCGGGAGCACCCCCAAGTCGTCACACGGCG